AAGACACCTTCAGAGCGGCCAGGGCACGAGCGGGAGGGAGCTGATCTCAGCCCTGCCGCAACTCCCTCCCAACTTCATAAAAACGTCAGTCACGCAGCCTCAATATGGAAATAACGTGCAGTGAGTTATTCTTCTGCCACGTCATCCATAATGGAAAATCAGCCCAAGATGGCCCTGTATTTCTTCCTGCTCCCTAAAGTGTAATAAATTGAAATTTTTAAAGCTCAGCATTAACACACCTCGTCAGCAGCATCCCCGAGCCTGCCCAGGGGAGTCTGTGAGCTGGGGGATTTCCGGTGTTGCCCGACCAGACCTGATGAAACCTGGGCCTGCTTGACTTGCTTGCCTCTGGGGCCAGCACCCTCCCTCCAGCCATTCCAGTCTGCCTGGAAGCTTAAAACCCTTCCCTGGGATTGTGGTCCGGGCCCTGCCTCACCCTGGCCCCGTGACCGACAGCTTGGCCTATGGCACTCTCTTCACCTCTAAAATGGGGTTGGAAAGTCCTCACTTCTCAGGCTAGTAAGTGATGAAAGTGAAACTCGCTCAGTCCTGTCCAACTCTTTGCGACCCCATGGACTATAGAGTCCATGGAATTCTCCAGGCCAGAATACTGGAATTGGGTAGCCTTTCGCTTCTCCAGGGGATCTTCTCAACCAGGGATTGAACCCAGGTCTCCCACATTGCAGGCAGATTCTTTACCGGCTGAGCCACCAGGGGAGCCCAAGAATACTGGAGTGGGGAGCCTGTCCCTTCTCCAGCGGATCTTCCCGACCCAGGAATTGAACCGGGGTCTCCTGCACTGCAGGCAGATTTTTTACCAACTGAGCTATCAGGGAAGCCCAGTGATGAAAAAGACAACAGCAATCTCCGCCATTCCTGTTTTGGCATTGTCTCAGCGCCAGGCGCTGTGCTTAGCGTGCTCGGGTTTTCACTGGTTTATTCTGCACGGGTCCTGGGATGTGACCAACCCCGTCCTATAGATGAGGAAACTGAGGCACGGTGGATTCAGTGACTGGCTCGAAAGGCGGATGCTCCAGTCTGACCCCACACATGGCGCACCTGTCGCTTAGAGGTGCCAGCATGGCCTGGTTTCCTGCCGCTTCCCTTTGGTGTGAATGCTCTCCTCCCAGGAGGGCTCTGGTCTTGATGTGTTTGTCTGAATGTGTTTGTCTGTTTGTCTGAATCAGTGGATTCAGAATCCAAGTTCTGTCAGTTCTGCCTGATTTGTCTCCCTGGCATTCTGCAGCCCTGCCTAGCTCAGGTCACGGTGACACGGCTGAGTGGCCTCTGTGGTCACGGCAAGCCTCTGGGCTGTATTCTCTGTGGCTGGAATTCTCTCTATATTTTAATCCATCCTGCTCCTTCCAGAGTGTGGCTGTCCATGAGGGGCAGTGGAGTACAGTGGTTAAGGCCTTGGGCTCTGGGGTTGCACCAACCAGGTTTCCCTGCTGCTGGCCGTGTGCCTGGGAGCAAGTCACTTCGCCTCCGTGAACCTCAGTTTCCTCCAAGGTCAGATGGTCCTCACAGCAGCACCTTTTCTCCTAGTGCCCTCGTGGGGCTGTTGAGAAGCCAGGCAGATAGAGGCCATGCCCTGGACATGGTCACCAAGCAACAGTAGCAGGTGCGGCCATGGATGCCTGAACCATCAGGACCAAGATAATCCTCTCTCCAGCCCACTGGGAGCTGAGACCAATGCCTGCAGCCCCGTGTGCTGCCTGCGTGCCATCTCTGCTCCTCTCTGCCTGGGGATGAGCTGTCTCTTGGCCCTGCTTGCTCCAGGGAGCCTGGGGAAAGGAAGGGGCATGTCAGATATGCCTGCATGCTCAGTGGATGACTCTTGTCTGACTCCTGCGACCCCACGGACTGCAGCCCGCCAGGCTCCTCTGTCCATGGGATCTCCCAGGCAAGAACACTGGAGTGGGTTGCCATTTCCTTCCCCAGGAGATCTTCCCTACCCAGGGATCGAACCTGTGTCTCCTGCATTGGCAAGCGGATTCTTTATCGCTGAGCCACCAGGGGACAGGAAATACAGCCTTTCTTCTGTGGAGGCTCTGAGGACCAGCAGCATCATGTTGATGAAACCCTCCTTCAGCCAAAGGCGGGGCTCAGCAGATGGGAACTGTGTCGTCTGTGGGCTGTACTTACGATGACTCTCCCTTGCCTCCTGGCCCTGGGCCGAGCGACTCGGCCTGGCAGGGCCCTGCGGGACGCCTCCTTCCACTGCTAGTTATCTGACATCATCTCCCATGCTGGCCCATCTGCTCCTGCCTGCCCGTTTCTCTTGTTCCTTGCACACCGCCCTGTGCAGACCCTTCCATTTCTTCCCACTTCCTCTCTGACTCCACCACCCCCTTCCTGAAGAACCACAGCAGCATCCTCTCTGGCTGCCCTGTTGCTAATCCTGTTCACAAAAGTGCACCCTCCCATGGCAGCCATAGGGAGACCATGCCGCCCTCCTCCTTAGAGTGTGGTTTTCCTGCAGACTGAAGCAAACCTGAGCTTGGCACCCTGGCTCACTGCTGTGACTCCCACCTACTTCCTCAGCATCACCACCTCCTGGCCCTCCCTGGGGGGCTGACCAGCCATCAGTTCAGTTCAGTTCAGTTGCTTAGTCGTGTCTGACTTCGCAACCCCATGGACTGCAGCACGCCAGGCTTCCCTGTCCATCACCAACTCCCGTTTACTCAAATTCATGTCCATCACATTGATGATGCCATCCAACCATCTCCTCCTCTGTCATCCCCTCCCGCCTTCAATCTTTCCCAGCATCAGGGTCTTTTCCAGTGAGTCGGTTCTTCGCATCAGGTGGCCAAAGTACTGGAGTTTCAGCTTTAGCATCAGTCCTTCCTTCCAATGAATATTTAGGACTGATTTCCTTTAGGATGGACTGGTTGGATCTCCTTGCCATCCAAGGGACTCTCAAGGGTCTTCTCCAACACCACAGTTCAAAAGCATCAATTCTTTGGCACTCAGCTTTCTTTATATAGTCCAGCTCTCACATCCATACCTGACTACTGGAAAAACCATAGCTTTGACTAGATGGACCTTGGTTGGTATGACCAGCCATACTGGCTGTCTTTCTGTTCTGCAGCACCAAGCTACTTGCTGTTCCTGCCTCAGACCTTTGCACTTCCTGTTGCCTCCATTCAGGGAAACTTCTCACCGAAAGCTCCACCTGGCTATCTCCTTTGCATCTTTTAGGTGTTAGTTGCATTAAGCGCCTCTCCTTAATGAGGCCTCTGGCTTGTGCCCGAATCGAGGACTGGCTTTGCCCTGCCAGCCTGAGGAGGAGCCCTCCACTCCCCCCCCAGCCCCTGCCCTGCCTTCCCGGAGGCCCCAGAGTCACCTGCAGGGAAGATGAGCCCACGCCTGACTTCTCGTTCCCTCTGTCGATTATGCTCTAACATTGCCAATTACCTCCCCTGCTCCACATCGTTTCTCTCAGTGTGTCTCAGTCCCTCCCAGTCGCTGAGCGAAACGGGCCCCCGAGCCCGCCCCACCTAGCCCAGCACGGGGCCCTGCTGCAAACACACTTTCCTCACAGCCTTGAGGATGGAGCTTCGGGGGACTGTGGCTGCTGGCAGGGCATGGGGCTGGGATTAGAGGCACAGTGCCAGGAAGCTGCGGGAGGAGGCTGGGGCCTTGGTTTTCCCGCCTGTGCGCTGGGGGTATCAGCAGCACACACCTCCCAGGTCTGCCCAGAGGACTGACAGGTGATACTGGGACAAAGGCGGCCTGCCTGCTTCCCAGCTCTAGTGTTGGGCCGAGCTCCTGGATGTGCTGAGGAAGATGAAAGTGGTCCCAGGTGGCCTTTCCCCACAGAGACCCCCTTGGTCAGCTGTCCTGGAGGCGTCCTCTGCCCTGGCTCCCCCATTTTCCTTACAATGATCAATGGGGCCCCTTTGCTGGGTGGCCTCAGGGATCCGATTGTGTGCATGACATTTCAGTAGGAGTCTAGCTTGCTTTTTTCTCCCCCTATCTGTTGACACCAGCCTTAAAGTCATTTACTATTTTGGAGGGACCGTGGCCTGGCAGTTGAGAAAGCAAGCTGGTCTGGACGATTCAAGTGGTGTCTTTGCGCCTTGCAGCTGTGTGACTTCAAACAAGGCTCCAGCCCTCTCTGAACCTTAAGTGCTTGCCTTCCATGATTTATAAGGCAGTTTTCTGCTCAGAGATTCTAGGGTTCAGAAATCGGGTGGATGCTCAATCGCAGAACAGACTTGGGGTTTGTGCACGAATGTGGTTTCTCCAGTGGGAAATGTTTGTCCTCTGGGCCCACACAGGTCCTTGTACCCACCCCCATGGCTCCACTGTGCTAGGATAGGGGGCCTGCTGTGTGCAAGTGGACAGAAGGAAGAGAAAAGAAAGGTCGAGAAAGAGAAACTTTAAGTCAGTGGCTCTTAACCTTCAGGAATCTAGTGAAGTCATGTACCAGGAGGTGCTCACACACAGACTGTTTTGCATACCATTTAAAAGCGGGTTCACAATTCTGATTAAAAACACCTACTTGGCAAGTCCCCACTGAATGAACTCTGAGCACCTCCTCTAGGAAGACTTCCCGGCCCATCCTGTGCTCCAGGATCCTCATGCCCGCCTCTTCCTTGTACCCTCAGAGGGGCTGTCATTACCTGTCCCTTCCTGTCTCCCCCGTGGGAGGGCAGGGGCCACCATGAATGTTCTGTGTGTGCCAAGTGCCGAGCGGGTGGCAGCAAATACCCGCTGAATGGGTGGGGGCTGACCCCTGGTGCTAAATCGGGGGTGGCCTGGCCTTACCTCGTGGGGCAGGGCTTGTTCAGTGTTGAGTGGGCTTGGAACCCGGCCGCCTCTGCTGCAGACAGCTCTGTTGCCCCGTCTGTGGGTTGATGAAGAGCCGTGAAGATGGGAGGGTCGCCTGCACTCGCCCTCCTGCGAGGGCAGGGCCAGGCCGGCTGGGAGGGCTGGTCAAGGGGGCCACGTCCTGAGACCTCTCCCCTCCCCTCTCCCGCTCCTGCCGGGTCCAGCTGGAGCAGAGTGAAGCCAAGTGTGAAGACGCCTTGAAAACCCAGAAGGCGCTGACGGCGGACCTGGAGAACATGCACAGCGAGCTGGAGAGCATGACCCGCAGCAAGAGCCTGGTACCTGTGCCTCCGGGGGCGGGGCCGCCGCGGCACCGCGGGAGGGGCCGGGGCATGCCCCTACATACCGGAGGTCCGCGAGGCCCTCGCAGACCCACTGAGTGCTCGGCGCTCTGCGAGCACAGGCAGCCTGCCCCGAGCTGAGTGTGAGCGCGGCGTCGGGGCGCGTCTGAGGGTCAGCCGTGTGAAGGGAGGCAAGGCGCCCTCTGGGGACCCAGGGTGCTCAGCCCCGGGGGACGCTTCCAGTCCGAGCCTGTCGTTCGCGCAGCACCGGGACCGGAAGTGGGAGCACAGCTCTCTGTTGCGAGCCCGCACCGTGCCCGCCACCCCAGTCACCTGTGGCAGGCCCACTGTGCGCTACCACCCCAGGAGGGCACGTGGCCACTGTGGCCGGGCTACTTCTTCAGGTCCAGTCTTCCAGGCGCAGCCTGTTTGGCCTCACTCCTAAAAGGGCCTCAGCCGTCTGGGAGCTCAGCGCTGAACAGGGACAAATGAACATACATCACAGGTCTATTATGCTGGTGAAGACTGGGCGTGCTTTCTGTGTGCCGTCTCTGGGTGGACAGGGTCAGCTTACTCGTAAGGTTTAGGTGGAGCTAGAGGTTTATCAGTGAAAGCTTATCTCTGGCCCTTTTGTCCCCGGTTTGGTTGGTCCTAGATCAAGGGAAACCTGCCCACAAACACTGACACACACACGTGTACAGGGATGGATGTGCACACTTGCATACAAAGTCACAGACGCACCTCCAAATAAAGGCCCTTGTAGGTAAAATATACATCTAAGGTTAGCCGTAATTATTGAGATTACTCACGCGTATGCACCACGCACGCTTAAGCTGTATGTGAATAGATCTCTGGGTGGGCTCACATATCTATTCACATACACGTGCTGCATTCATACAGCCAGCCGCATGCCTGCTAGAGTGCACACACGCAGGACATACCCACAGGAGGCGTTGACACAGCTGTGGCCTCCCTTTCAGGTAGATGTTCACTCACCTGACACACCCAGGGGCAAGACTCCCTGCTGTTCATCACCCCCGACCCCCACAGACCCTCTCCCGCCCCCTCCCACCTCACCTGTGCTCGTCCTGCCCCGGCAGGTGGATGAGCAGCTGTACCGGCTGCAGTTTGAGCGGGCGGACCTCCTGAAGCGCATAGACGAGGACCAGGACGATCTGAACGACCTCATGCAGAAGCACAAGGACCTCATTGCGCAGGTAGCGGCCTCGGGCAGAAGAAGGTTGGCGGCCTTGGGCGGGTGGGCGCGGACTCAGTCAGGCCACTCTCTAGTCTCAGGACCTTGGAGGATAAACCACAAAGGTAAACAGGAATCGCGACTCACACTTACTTTTGTTCAAGATGGACATTTATTTGTTTAGCTACAAAAGCAGTAAATTAGTACGCTGATTATAAATACTGTAAAAGAATAAATACCTGTGGAAAATAGAAAGCAAAGAGCCCTCCTCCCCTCTGGGATCCTCTCTGGAGATAGTCACATTCAGCCATTTGGCTCAACTCTTTCTTAAGGCCCTGTACTCCCCATTGCCTCATTTAGTCTTCAGACGGACCCTGTGTAGAGGGTCTCAGCAGAGACCACCAGCCAGTGTTACAGATGGGGACACTGAGGTGCAGAGAGGTTCTGCTGCTTGCTGTGACTGGAATCCACGTCTGGAACCCCAGTTGCTGCTGCTGCTGCTAAGTTGCTTCAGTTGTGTCTGACTCTGTGCAGCCCCACAGACAGCAGCCCACCAGGCTCCCCCATCCCTGGGATTCTCCAGGCAAGAACACTGGAGTGGGCTGCCATTTCCTTCTCCAATGCATGAAAGTGAACCTGACCTCAAATAGTCCTCTTCCCTCCGAATTCTGGCCCTAGTGCCGCAGCCACCTCACTCCATCTGGGCTCTCCAGGGCATATGATAAGGTGCTGGACAGTTGACCGAAGCTATGGGCTATGGTGTGGGAGTGAACCGCTCTCACTGAGATACTGGGGGATGTGCGAGGCCCTTTAGAACTAGCTGTTGTCATAGACACTCTGTGATGTGCACACAGCTGTGGGTGGGGGAACAAGGGACTTCCAGCAGAGCCTGCGGTCTCAAGCTGACACTTTTCATCTCGCCAGTCTGCTGCCGACATTGGGCAGATCCAGGAACTGCAGCTGCAGCTGGAGGAAGCCAAGAAGGAGAAGAACAAGCTTCAAGAACAAGTATGTGCTCACAGCTGCCATGTTGTGGGGGAGGACCATGGAAACTGGTATTCATTCACTCAGTTGTTCACTCAGCTTCAGTCACATGGCAAATGAATTGAGGACAACCCCAGCAGACACACACACACACCACTGCCCATGCTTTTCACACCCATACACACACACACACACACCACTGCCCATGCTTGTTCACACCCATACACACACACACACACCACTGCCCATGCTTTTCACATCCATAGATACACACACACCACTGCCCATGCTTGTTCACACCCATACACACACACACACACCACTGCCCATGCTTGTTCACACCCACAGACACACACACACACACACACAGACACACATACTACTGCCCATGCTTGTTCACACCCATAGATGCCCCACACAGTGAGGCCCATCAGACGTTCAGAGCAGGATTTCTCCTCCTGAGAAGTGGCTCCAAGGAACAGGGCTGGTCAGTGCAAGACAGGATCACCATCCTCTGTGAAACTTCCACTGAAGTCATGATTTCTCCTAAGTTGCCTAAATTCCCCACTACCTAGTGAGTTGCTACCATCCATGAAATTCTGAAAGCTCTCCTAGAGCCCATGCCTGTGCCCACTTAGAGCGGCTATCAGAGTGACCGGGTCTCCAGCAGTGCCTGTGGGCACAGAATGACCACAGACAGAACAAAATAACAGCAGGAGTGGCCATTTGCTGGTGCTTATTATGTACCAGACATTAATCTTCTTCAGTCTTCACACACGAGAGTGAGTAAACAAGGCTCAAGGAAGCACACTGACCTTCCCAGACTCATCCAGCTAGACAGTGGGGACAGGTTTGGAACTCCAGGAGAGGTGCTTGGCTCCCAAACCCACTCTCAGTAGTGTCCTTGATGCGAAAGCTTTGCTGCCCTCAGACCCCAGGGCAAGAGCAGGAGGTAAGAGAGGCCCTGGCTGAAGGCCTGAGTGAAAGCTGAAGGCACAGGAAGGGGTGGGGTCCGGGGCGGGTCCTCAGCCTGGATCTGGCAGTTCCTGCGTGCGCATCTGAGCTGAGAAGGAGCGGTGCGGATGGGCTTAGGGCTGGGGCTGGCCGGGGCCCCCGACCCAGGACCCGGGCCGCCACGTGGTCAGTGGTTGTCTTGGGTGCGTCCCCAGCTGCAGGTGGCCCAGATGCGCATTGAGTACCTGGAGCAGTCCACTGTGGACCGGGCCATCGTCAGCAGGCAGGAGGCAGTCATCTGTGACCTGGAGAACAAGACAGAGTTCCAGAAAGTGCAGATCAAGAGATTTGAGGTACCAGTTGGCGTGTAAATGTTGCTCAGACCTAGAGCTGTGCAGGCTTTTGTGTCGGCTCCATCCTTCACCCCACCCTCCATTTGTCCTCTCGTATGCCTTTGTCTGGATCTGTATCACTCACCCACCTCCCATCCGAGTTCCCTCCCTCCCTCCTTCCTTCCTTCAGTCTCCCTGTCCCATCAGCTGCTCATCCACTTGGCCTGTCCACCTCCTCCATCCCCTTCCCCATATCCATCCACCAGTGTTGGTCCATCCATCTTCCCCTTTCCATTTGTTGTTCTTCCTTTTTCTTTTTTCTTTGCTTCCTCTGTGCTTTTTCCCCCCTTTAGACCTTGATCCCTCTGTCCATCTTTTTATCCATTGATCTACTTCTGCCCATCTTCACCCCCTGGCTCATCCACACAGGCACAGGATACTTCTTCTGTAGCTAGTGTCAGGCTTTGTTTCAAGAACGTGAAAGACAGATGCTGCTTCCCAGAAGCACAGTGCTTTGTAGGAGATACGTACTTTGTGGGTGAGATACGTACATAAACACCCATAGTAAGGAGAGAGGTCTGTGAGGTTTGGAGGATGGAGGTCTTTTCAGGCCAGGGAATCGGGGACGTTTCCAGGACTTGGATGGGCAACGGTGGGGTTCAGTGACTGTCTTCACTGTTAGCTCTGTACATCAACGGCATGGGACATTTACAGAGGCCATCACCACTGCCAGAACCTTCTACATCAGCTGCTCCACTTGATGTTCATCACAGCCCCTGGGGCAGGTAGGAGAGAATGAGAAGATGGCCCTAGAAAGGTCGAGTCATTCAAGATAAAGCAGGTAGCATCAGGGACAAGAGAAGATTGACTCCTGACCTTTGCTCCGTTCTGCTCTCAGGTTCTCATCTCCCTGTGGCCAGCTGGCTCACCCACAGGGTGACCGTGTGTTTGGCCAATGGAAGGCTATTCTTCTCACTCTGAAACATTTTCTCCCAACCCTCTGTTGGGCATCTCATCTCTAGGAAAGCTGCTCTGGATGAAGACCAGAGAAAAACTCTCTGCCTTGACCCTCCATCGTTCTTGGAATTGCTCGTGGGATCCCTCAGGGCATAATTGTCTCTGCAGATCTCCATGGAACTTTGATCTATGATATTTTAAATGACTAAATATGTAATATTGAGCTGCATCACATATAATTTTTTGCTTGATTCTAGCAGCAGCAGAGAAAAAACCATGGTAGAATAACTTGAAACGGCCGATTCTGTCTCCAGATTCACCTTTCTTCTGACATCACGGTTGGAATTTAGCAGAGCCCCAGGTCCTGGAGATGGGATACCTTGGGGACACAGTTTGGGCATTCTTCTTACAACCCTCCTGTTGCCCTTTGAAACTGTTGCTAAACTCCAATTGAACAGGAAAAGAGGAAGCGAGCTGTGAAGCTTTTCTTTCAGACCATCATTCAGTCTCTGATCTGGCAAGGGGCTCAGAATCCTTAGCAGGGACCTAAAATCTTCATGCGGGCTCCATTTTATGTCAACACTCGAGTATTTGCCCATCAGAATCGACTGGTTCCAGACTTGTTGGCCATGAATTATACAGCCCTCGCCGTTGGGTTAAGGTCTTCAGTGATGCCCACAGCTCTTTTCTCTCTCCTCATAGTTTCATTGTGTCCTTCTGGCTTTTCCACACACACACACAAAGGAAAATGCCATAAAGTATGAGAGCTGAGGCTCATGGGAGATGACTTGCTCAAACCCCCTTGTTTTACAAATCGGGAAACAGTAACCCACCTTGGGGAAGGGGTTTGGACCCACCTCTCCCTCTCCTCCCTGCCTGATGTCTTCTCCATGGCACCACTCCACCTTCCAATCCTTGAGCTGAATGAAGGTTGCTATAAATATTAATTCCCAGCCCTTACCCAGCACATAGGATGTGCTGGGTACTAAGTCAAGCCTTCTGTATAACTTAATGTGTTCAACTCTCACAGCATCCCTGAGACATAGGTACAGGCATCTGTGCCTCTCCGAAAGGTTAATTACCTGCCCAGGGTCACATAGCTGGGAAGATAGGTAGAGGTAGGATTTGAACCCAGAACGTGAATTCAGTGTCAATCACTATGTACGCTGCCTTCCAGAGTAACAGCTCTCATTTTCTACGTTTCCTTCATTTTTGTACCAGAAATCAGGGTTATTACCGTAGTTACTTCATTAAAAGGCACAGAGACTCAGCAGAGGGTTTCTGTTCCTGGAACCCCCGGTGTCGGGCCCCAGACCTCTGACTCCAGGCTGGGCGTGTGCTCTCTGCCCGGGCTGCAGGTGCTGGTGATCCGGCTTCGGGACAGCCTGATCAAGATGGGCGAGGAGCTCTCGCAGGCCGCCGCGGCCGAGTCCCAGCAGAGGGAGAACAGCCAGTACTACCAGCGGCGCCTGGAGGAGCTCAAGGCGGACATGGAAGAGCTGGTGCAGCGGGAGGCCGAGGCCAGCCGGCGGTGCATGGAGCTGGTGAGTGCCGTCGTGGGGCCGGGGTTCCGGAGGGCAGCCCTCCTGCTTTCTGAGTAAGGCCCTCTGCGCAGGCCTCTGGGGTCTTGGTGTAAACCGGAAGCAGGGAAGAAACTGGAAGGGGATGGGCTGCGAGCCTACCCTGCCATTGGCCCCAAACTCCGGGGGTGTGTCCAAAGGTTCCCTCCTGCAGGATGGCGTCCAGCCACCTTTGTGTCTCAGGCTCCGAACTTTCTCTTTCTGCCTCACACTTTCTCCTCCTGAGGCAGGGCAGCCTTGTGCAAAGGGGGAAGAATCAGCATTTATTATATTTCTCTCTTGCATAGTCCTAAGACCCATAATACCGTGTAATCGTCATGTAGTCGTTATAACCATGGGAAGTCAGAATTATTATCCCCCTTTACAGATGAGGAAACTGAAGCTTGACAGAGCAGACTTGTCCTGGTCATTCCTAGTAAGCATGAGAGCTCTTCCTGGGCTGTTAACAACCACCACAAAGATAAAAGACAAAAGCAATTGTGCTAAGCCCACCACTTATTAAGCACTGGCCAGGTGCCGGGTTCTGAGTTAATCCTTTCTCATTTAAATCTCCATGTCAGTTCTGTGAGGTAGGTACTGATCTTATTGCCATTTCCGGATGGAAAAACCGAGGCCCAGGGACACACACGTGTCAAACTGAGGCCCAGAGTGGTACATTCACTTGCTCAAGGCCACACACAAGTAAGACATTAAATTCAGTTCTGCCCAACTGTGTAGTCTCTGCTTTTATTCACTGAGCCATGCTTGTTCCCTGCTGTGGCTCAGGGTACATTTTAAATTGCATTTCCTTCCCAATGGGAAGGTTTCTCCATAGTCGATTATATTTTCATGAGGACAGTCTCCTGCAGGGATCGCAGAGCACCTGAGACAGCCTGCTCCTCCTTTCCCTGAGGAGCTCTCGCAGGCCGCCGCGGCCGAGTCCCAGCAGCGGGAGAACAGTCAGTACTACCAGCGGCGCCTGGAGGAGCTCAAGGCGGACATGGAAGAGCTGGTGCAGCGGGAGGCCGAGGCCAGCCGGCGGTGCATGGAGCTGGTGAGTGCCGTCGTGGGGCCGGGGTTCCGGAGGGCAGCCCTCCTGCTTTCTGAGTAAGGCCCTCTGCGCAGGCCTCTGGGGTCTTGGTGTAAACAGGAAGCAGGGAAGAAACTGGAAGGGGATGGGCTGCGAGCCGACCCTGCCATTGGCCCCAAACTCTGGGGGCGTGTCCAAAGGTTCCCTCCTGCAGGATGGCGTCCAGCCACCTTTGTGTCTCAGGCTCCGAACTTTCTCTTTCTGCCTCACACTTTCTCCTCCTGAGGCAGGGCAGCCTTGTGCAAAGGGGGAAGAATCAGCATTTATTATATTTCTCTCTTGCATAGTCCTAAGACCCATAATACCGTGTAATCGTCATGTAGTCGTTATAACCATGGGAAGTCAGAATTATTATCCCCCTTTACAGATGAGGAAACTGAAGCTTGACAGAGCAGACTTGTCCTGGTCATTCCTAGTAAGCATGAGAGCTCTTCCTGGGCTGTTAACAACCACCACAAAGATAAAAGACAAAAGCAATTGTGCTAAGCCCACCACTTATTAAGCACTGGCCAGGTGCCGGGTTCTGAGTTAATCCTTTCTCATTTAAATCTCCATGTCAGTTCTGTGAGGTAGGTACTGATCTTATTGCCATTTCCGGATGGAAAAACCGAGGCCCAGGGACACACACGTGTCAAACTGAGGCCCAGAGTGGTACATTCACTTGCTCAAGGCCACACACAAGTAAGACATTAAATTCAGTTCTGCCCAACTGTGTAGTCTCTGCTTTTATTCACTGAGCCATGCTTGTTCCCTGCTGTGGCTCAGGGTACATTTTAAATTGCATTTCCTTCCCAATGGGAAGGTTTCTCCATAGTCGATTATATTTTCATGAGGACAGTCTCCTGCAGGGATCGCAGAGCACCTGAGACAGCCTGCTCCTCCTTTCCCTGAGGAGCCCAGCTGTCTTCCAGCCTCCAGGTTTCCACCTGCAGGGCCTGGAGGCACCCGGCACCCCCTTGGCCTGCCACGACACACCTCCTCTGAGACAACCCTGATTGCGCTGTGGTTCGGCCCAGAGGGCTCTAAATCACCGTCATTATCTCCTTCCTGCCCGGTCCACTCTGGGTCTGTGACAGGTCTCGCCGCCTTGTCCTCCTGCAGCAAGTATACTTCTTGGGCCACTGCCTCCCGCGGCCGGTGTCACTTCCATCAGCTCTGCCCTTGACAGGCCGGCAGCCCGCCTGTCATGTGGGGGAGGCGAGGCTCTGAGCAGAGACCCGGGTTCCCAGACAGAATCCCAGCCCTGTGACTGGCAGCTCCTCTACTCCACCTCGCCCCCGGTGGCCCCAGGAGACGGCGAGGCTCTTTCTTCCACCTGACAGGCTAACTTACGTGTTAACCAGCCCTGCTTCTCATGCAGCCCAGCTCCCGTCCTGCCAGCTCTGGCTGGACTCAGACATTACCCCAGCCTTTCTCCTCTGATGTCTTCTTTAACTAGCCACACACCCAAGCTTTCCAGTCCCATCAGGTGGTGGTTTCCTCTTCTCCCCTCTTCTCTTTTTCTCCTTCCCTCCCTTCCTCTCCTCTCCTTTCCTCTTTCTTAACTTCCCTCTGTGCACCCCCATTCCCAGGGACATGACACCCCCATTTCCAGGGACATCGTATACTTAAGATCTATAAAGGCCCTAAAAGGTGGCAAAGGTTATAATGCAACCCCCATACACAAACCAAAACTCTAAAGCACAAAGCTTGCACGTTTGCGGAAGTTAGACCCGCATCTTTCTCGGTTTTCTCATTGCAAGATTCTGGATAAGCTTACCAAGACTGAACTATCCTTTTTATTTTGTTGTCTTTGGGGTTGGGTGGTGTATTAGTTTTCTAGGGCTGCCTTGGAAATTTACTCCAAACTGGTTGGTTTATCTATTTTTTTTAATATTTATTTGACTGCACTGCATCTTAATTGCAGCTCCCAGGATCTTTGATCTTTGTTGTGGCATGCGGGGTCTAGTTCCCTGACCAGGGATTGAACCTGGGCCCCCTGCCTAGGGAATGTAGACTCTTAGCCACTGGACCATCAGGGAAGTCCTAACTGGGTGCTTTAAAATGAGAGCAATTTATTCTCTCACAGTTCTGAAGGCCAAAGTCTGAAATCAAAATATTGGCAGGTCTACGCTCCCTCTGATGGTTCCAGGGTAGAATTCTTGTTTGCCCTTCCAAATTCTGGTGGTTCTAGGTGGTTCTTGGCGTATGGCTGGGTCACTCCAGCCTCCGCCTCTGTCTTCACATGGTCCTCCTCCTGTGCATGTGTGTCTCAGATGCCCTTCGACCTTTTCCTCTAAGGCCACCTGTAACTGGATTTTGGGCCCACTCTAAATCCAACCTGATTTCATCTCAGGTTTTTACCTTAGTTACATCCATAGACACCCTTTTTCTGCATAAGACCATGCTGACAGGTTCTGGGAGGACGTAGCTCTCAGGGGGCGCCCCTTCTAGCCCCTCTGGAGGGAGGGCGCATCGCGGCACAGCCGGCTGTTACGCAGTGATTCTGTGGGGGCAGGGCACACAGGGGCAGGGGCAGGGGCAGGCCTGTCCTAACGGGAGGTCCCCAGCTCACCAGCCCACCTGCCTTCCTGCAGGCACCTTGCCTTTGAGCCCCAGGGTAGATGTTTCCACTGGGGGAGGAGACGATGCCATATTTCCTCATGTCCTTGTTTATCCATTTACTCAACACCAAGTCTGGGCACGGCACGCAGATGGCATTGGAGGGGAAGGACAGGGAAGCACACGGTCCCTGCTTTTTGTAGAAGCTCACAGCGTGGGCAGAGCACTGCTGGTGGGAGAGCTGGGTGAGGGGAGTTCTCAGAGGAGCCCTGTGGCCGAGGCCCCTCCCTTGGCATGGCGTGGCGTGGCGTCCTGGCACTCTGCTAGGCGTCTAGGAGGTGGCATCTCACCTTTCAGGCTCACGGCTGTGCCACCAGTTTGCCTTCTTCCCTTCCACCTCTACAAGACAAGGGACGGCTGCTCTGTGTCGTGTGTTCTCAATAGACTTCACCTGCGAGGCAGTCAGGGTTCCGGTTCTTTCATTCTTTGCATTGATATGTGTCCCTAGTCTTTACTCCAGGCCAAATGCAGGGCTGGATGTTGGGGACCAGCAGGGAACAAGACAGACCCTCACCCCCGAGGAGTGTATACCGCAGGGAGAAACATTGAGAAGGCCACTGCTTGTGTGTTTTCTATGTTTCTATGTTTCTAGCTTTCTCTGAAAGCTTCTCCCAAGCTTTCATGGGCAAACAAAGGATCCATGTGCTGGGATCTGGAGGGTCTTAGAAGGCCAGGTGGCATCATGCTCCTACTCACAAGTCACTTCTGTGAGCAACCACTGCCCTCTTCATCTTCTGTTTTTAAAGTTCAAATCTCCCTGGGAGGGATAATAAATTTTTGAACTCCCTGAGCCAAGCATTCATTCATTCATTCATTCGTGCCCTGAGTGAGCATTGATTGGGTCACTCTGGGCTTAGGCTGTTTGCAGATGTCATCTTTAAAAAAAAAAAAAATGTTTCTTTACGTGGTGGCCGCCGGATCTTTGTTATGACACATAGGATCTTTAGTTGAAGCAAGCACAGTCTTAGTTGCAGTAAGTGGGATCTAGTTCCCTGACCGGGGATCAAACCCTGACCCCCTGCATTGCAGTCGCAGAGTCTTAGTCACTGCACTGCCAGGGAAGTCCCAGATGTCACCTTCTTTCATGCTTCCATCACCCCAGCAGGTGTGGACGTGCAGTGCAACCCTAGGCCGCAGAGTCGGGCGGCAGAGCTGGGGTCAGCTTCCTGCATGTCCAGCTCAAAAGCTCTCACTGGGACAGCACGCTGCCCTCCCAACCCACCCCTGCTGAGAGACGGTCTCTCTGCTGCAGGAGACCCCACAAAGGATCCCACACCTTGGACCGCGGTGAGAA